GAGGCGGGCGGATCACCTAAGGTCAGGAGTTCGAGACCAGCCTGGCCAGCATGGCAAAACCCCGTCTCTACAAAAAATACAAAAATTAGCCAGGTGCAGTGGCTGCCTGTAATCCCAGCTACTCGGGTGACTGAGGCAGGAGAATCACTTGAACCTGGGAGGTGGAGGTTGTGGTGAGCTGAGATCACACCACTGCACTCCAGCCTGAGCAACAGAGTAAGACCCCATCTCAAATACAAACAAACAAAAGACAGACAAAAGGGAAACTCTCAATTATTCAGTGGCTACTAAGTGTTGCTATTTCAACACATTATCTCTTCCACTCCTTCCAACGATCCAGCAAAAACCTGTATTTCCTCTAGTTAACAGATGAGAAAAACTAGGTTCAGAGAGGTCTCGTAACTTACCCAACGTCACACGGTTAATATCCTACACAACCAGCACTGAGCCCAGCTTGCCTGCCTCAGAAGCCCAAACACCGTATCACCATGTGGGGGAGTTGAGAGGCCCCTATGGGCAGAGGCCTTCCCGTCTGACTCACGCTGCGGGTGTGAGAACTCCCGTCTCCATTTACAGACTCGTGCCGCACCCTTCTTTTCCCAGGCCACCTCACAGCACAGCAAATGCAAATTAAAATATGAATATTGATATCAAAATAGTAACCAAAGTTGGAATTTCTGTGATTGAGGCTGCAGTGTATTTTAATGTGTCGGGAGACAGGGAGCTGACAGTTGTGTGATAAGGTGTGAAAACGTCTCTTCTACCAGAGTCTACCTAGCTCGCCCTGCCCCACGCATGCTTACTCACTCCCTTCAATGGGAACAGTTTGGCCAGAAATTCAAGCCTCTGTGAAAGCAACTGTGAATTTGCTCCTTTCAATCACAGAGACTCTAAATCAACAAGCTCGATTTGTCTTTTAAAGATCAAAGATTTGTAATCCCAGCACTTTGAGAGGCCCAGGAGGGAGGATTGCTTGAGCCCAGGAGTTTGAGACCAGTATGGGCGACACAGCAAAACTCTGTCCCTAAAAGAAATTAGCCAGGCATGGTGGTGCATGCCTGTTGTCCTAGCTACTCTGGAGGCTAAGGCGGGAGGATCCCTTGAGCCTGGGAGGTCAAGGCTGCAGTGATTGTGCCACTGCACTGGGAGACAGAGTGAGACCCTGTTTCAAAACAAAGAAAAACAAAACAAAACAAAATAAAACAAAACAAAACAAAAAAAAAAAGAAGAGAAGAGGATCAAAGATTCAGAAACTTTACAAAGGGCTGTGAAATGGGCCCATTTGGCTAAATCATTTTGATACCGAAGAAAAAAGAGAAAAATTTCAGGGGTTCCTCAATAGGCAAAAGAGGACATCCCTATGTGGCTGTCTTAACATTGCCTGCAGGTGAGGAGAAATGTACTTGCGGCCACTGCTTTTAAAGCGGGGCATTCTCATGCCAGCCCTGCACGGTGCTGCAGGGGAAGGCAGTTTGTTGACAGTCACGAGCCATCCAGGAGGCATTCTACTGGCAGGCAGACACTCCAGATGAAAGCACTACACTCATCCTTAGAAAGCAATGGCGGGGTAGCATCTTTGCCATCTCTTCTTTTTCCTAATTTTGAGCAAGTCAGACTTCAAAGGAGGCCAAGCTATAGAAGAACCTGATCACCTTGCTCCATTTATCTAGAGAAATATGTTATCCATCCTTCTTTTTTTGTTGTTGGGTTGAAGCAGAGCAGGTATGGAGAAAAGCCACACCATTGGACCTATTAACAATTATTTGCCAATGGTCATACGGATATCCTGAAAGCTCCGATTTCAAATGCTTTGAAAATCTGCAGCACAAATGAACAAGGGATGGAGAAGGGGCCCTGCTCAGTCATATTAGAGATGGACCCTCCACACACCATGGTGACCTCTCCACAGGTCGGCCCCACATTTTCTATTTGCAATTCAAACCCAAGGCGAGGGTGAAGAGGGCAAGCTTGGGTTCTTGATTATATCTGCAAGGTCACCATTGCTATGCAGAGTTAGAGGAGGCCAGGTGGCAACCCAGCACATTTGAAAATTGGATCTTTGTTGGAAACTGCCTCAATTTCATGGCAGAAACCAAACTTGAGATGTCTATATTAGAGGCATCTGGGGAGCCACGAGGTACATTCGTTGCCAGATAAAGGGGAGGAGGGAAAGGGGAGAAGGACAAAAAAACCAAGGAAATATTTTCTACGGCTATGTGAGAGGTCAGGTGCAGCCAGATCCTACATTAGCTCAAAAAAGGGCGCTGGAGAGTGCTGGAGCCCCAAGTCCCGTAGATGCGAACAATGCTAGAGTTTCAATGACAAAATAGCTCTCTTCCAAGAACAACTGCAAAATACCAAGTCTGTGGAAATCTGTACGACCGAAGGGGGGAAAAGTGAAAATTGAAAAGGGTGCACTAATAGATCTGTCAACAGTCCAATGGTGACAAGCCACATTTCTATAAAATGCCTTCACCGTTTGTGTCACCTGAAATGTACTGACACTCTCTATAGAACATTATCTCCTGAAGCTATTCTTGAAAAGACTGGCAGGGGGAAGGGAAGGGGAGGGAGACATCTGCTTTAGATACTACCAAGGAACGGAAAGGGAGAGAGGGTGGAAGGAAAGTGATCTAGACTGTTTAAACAAACCTTTGAACAACCACATTAAAAAAATCTGAGCTTAACTGGTTATTTGCAGAAATGTTACTTATCATAAGAAGGGGATTTTCCTAAGGCCAGAGGCTTGCACATACAAGCAGGGAGGTAAGGTGATGTCTGTAGCTTAATGGTCTGCAGAGAGTGGATCTGACCAATGAGGGCGCATGGGGCCTTTGCCTGAGGAGGGGCCCCTTTCTTTGCTTACTTCAGGGGATATTCTAATACCAAGCAGAGCCTACGATCCAGGCATCAAGGAGGGAAAACTCCCCATTCCCTGCCACTCCGTTTTATGTCTGCAATCCAATTCGGCTACATGCAACTGGGATGGGAGATAAAAAGGTATATTTAGGGACTTAAATAACATCCAAGTAAAGAATGCCACCTGCCAGTCTCTGGCAGGGTGCAAACAGACTACAGTTTAAGGTCTATCTGGATTTACATTACAGAGCTTTTATTTCAGGATGTGAATCTCAGCTGTTAAAAATCCACTCTCAGCCGAAACTAAGAATTTAAATGCTTAGTCAGAGCAAATTATTTTCCAATTAAAAGAAAGGAATCAATTCCTTCGACCCTTTCAAGTTAATTAGAGGTCCTTTCTGACTTCAGAAAATTAAAACTGCTTTCAATTTTTTAAAAACTGCAGAGCTAGACAAAGGGCCTTATTAGAGTGGTACGTTTGGGGGCATAGGGATAATGAAGTAGGTGATCCCAAACATCTTTTGGAAAACAACACACTTGTTTGAGGAAGGCAGTGTGCAATGCAACAGCAGTAAGAGCACACAGCCACCAGATGTCAATGGAGCTGGAATCCAATTCTGGCTCTGCTAGGCTCAGGGTGGCCCTGGGCAAATGACTTCACCTCTGAACTGTGGTCTGTTTACTCACGAAATGGGAACAATACTTCACAGTGCTGTTCTGAGGACTAAGTGTGAAAGCTCCTAGCCTGGACCACCCTTAAGAGGAGCTTAAAGAAGTGTGGCAACAGGCCAGGCACGGTGGCTCACACCTGTAATCCCAGCACTTTGGGAGGCCGAGGCAGGCGGATCACGAGGTGAGGAGATCGAGACCATCCTGGCCAACATGGTGAAACCCCGCCTCTACTAAAAATACAAAAATTAGCCAGGTGTGGTGGCGTGTGCCTGTAGTCCCAGTTACTTCGGAGGCTGAGGCACTCCAGCATGGCAACACAGTGAGACTCCGTCTCAAAAAAAAAAAAAAAACCCCCCAAAAAAGGTGGCAACAATAATAATGATGATGATGCCATTCATAATAATATAAAAAAGCCTTCCCTGTTATAGTAACCTTACTGTCTTAAGTCTAGAAATTCAATCTGGGGGCATAAAAAGGAATGAATTAATGGCATTTGCAGCAACCTGGATGGGATTGGAGACTCTTATTCTAAGTGAAGTAACTCAGGAATGGAAAACCAAACATCATATGTTCTCACTCATAAGTGGGAGCTAAGCTATGAGGATGCAAAGGCATAAGAATGACACAATAGACTTTGGGGACTCAAGGAAAGGCTGGGAAGGGGGTGACGGATAAAAGACTACAAATTGGGTTCAGTGTATACTGCTCAGGTGATGGGTGCACCAAAATCTCACAAATCATAGCTAAAGAACTTACTCATGTATCCAAATACCACCTGTTCCCCCAAAAGCCTATGGAAATAAAAAAATTAAAATAAAATAAAATACAAAAAAAAATGTCAGATTAAAAAAAGAAAGAAAAAAAAAGAGATTCGGGCTGGGGAAATCTTAGCTAGGACATAGCTGGGTGAAGACAATCAGAGCACTCCCCTCCACACTCAGAGTCTCAACAGTGCCCACTGGGTTACGCTCACTTGGTCCCCCAGGGCGAGGTAAGCCCACAGCATTCTGCTCAGCCCCACCCCTTGTGCTGTGTCTGGGCGGTGGCCATGTGCATGCTGGACCCTGGCAATCATTCCCCAGAGATGCTCCTTGGTTTTGGTTACAACCGGCCCTAGGGCAGAGGTCGGCCATAGGGGGTGGGCGGATGCCAGATGGGAACACCAAGCCAATTTCTACAGACGCCTGTGAACCCAGGCCTGGTGGGGTGGGCAAGGGACAGCCCGACAGTGGTAACTCTGAACTTGCTCGCCTTTGTGGGTTTAAGCCAGAGTCTTAATGTTATTTGAAGACAGTTTTTTGTCTGTGAATATTTATAACAGTGTGAAAACTCCCGGACAGCTGGTAATGCATTTTGAAGTGTGTTAACAACACTGTATCAAACAGCCCTCTATTGATCCCCTCATACTTTTTTGTGGCCATGCATTTCATACATGGTGCTTATACATTTTGAATAAGAACTTCAAGTACCTTTTGCTTCAAGCGGTTTTTCACCTCTTTTATTCCCATTTTTGCATGATCTTTTGCCTGCATGAAAAATTAATTTAAGTTAAGATTCCCTTTCTGTTTCCAGCAGGGACTATGCTTGATTTCAGTCCGTCGAGAATCACCTTCTCTGATTACTAGAAAAAGGAAGGAAAAATGGGATCATCAAGTCGAAAACATAATGGCTATGAAAACAAATATAACAGCAAAAGGTTAAAAAAAAAAAAAAAAACCCTGAAGAGGCTGCAGAGATTTTATTTTCTGCATTTTGATGGCACAGATTTTTTTTTTCTTTCCCTCCCAAAGCCCTTCTTTTGCTCTCTATAATTATTTATCTCAGCAGCCTGGTGACAGCTACCAGTAAGAGTACAGCAGCCGTGTTTCTGGCTGGAAGATTCAGAATATCCATTCTATTTCACCAGGGCACGGCCCCAGGACCGATTTTCTGCCCAGGCTGAATGGCTGGAACAGACACATTGCTGGGTTTCTAAAGTGCCATTTCCTAAATCTCATTTTGGCAGACACCCTGGCTTTGATTTCAGGTCATTTTAGACCTGTGTGGTTCTGCTGGCAGCCACCCACCCTGCTAAAATAACCACAGTTTAAGCACAGAGAGGACTAACACAATTAAAAATGGAAATAAAATAAAACCACCCCGCTTCAGTGGCTCACGGTCAAATTAGCAAGCAGGAGAAGTCACAAGAAAAAATACTCGATGCTTGTGAAAGACGGAGCGCCGGGAACAGATGTGCTCTCCTGTTTTCACTCGGCTGTGGACACGAGTCTTACAAATAATGCATTTCCTATAGGGCAGTGATCAGAGAGATGATGAAGAATTTGGGATAAAAATTAAGTGGTGTATGCCACCACAAACACTCTTCAGTAACCTGCAAAGGAGCTGCTTTATTTTGACCCAATAATGGGGATGCCTGCAGGAAGGCTTTGCCAGACACCAGATAGACCATGCTTCTGGGTCTCAGAAACAGAGGCAGGGTGCAGCCACCTAGTCTGCATTTTAAAAGCTAAAACCAGTAGCCTCCCATTTCTCTACTGTGGCAAATGTGAGCACCAACACTATAAATCAAAAATGTCACTGAACCGGTTATAATAATCTGCTAAATAATTTGAAGAATATTGAGACCTTCAGGAAAGAGCTCGGCAGCCTGAGTCATCTCTGCAACAGAGGACCAGGTATACTTAAGAGTCTCATCGCTTGGCTAGGTGCAGCAGCTCATGCTGGTAATCCCAGCACTTTGGGAGGCCAAGGCAGGAGGATTGTTTGAGCCCAGGAGTTCAAGAACAGCCTGGGTAACATACTGAGACATGGCTGTCTTAAAAAAAAAAAAAAGCCAGGTGTGGTGGTGCACACCTGTAGTTCCTGGTGTACTGGGGAGGCTGAGGTGGGAGGATTGCTTGGGCCCTGGAGGTCAAGGCTGCAGTGAGCTGTGATCGCACCACTGCACTCCAGCCTGGGCAACAGAGCAAGACCCTGTCTCAAAAATAAGTAAATAAATAAAGAGTCTCATCATGCTAAGGGACTGATCTGTTTTGGCTCCTGAGAGCAAGACCAGTACTTACGAACTTGTAGACAGTCTTCATGGCCGGGTTTGCTTTAGTCTTTACAGTATTCAGAATTGCTCCACTTCCTTTCTATAATAAAAATGTCAATTAGCAATTTGGGCTGAAGACAGAGTCATCCAACACCAACAAAGAGTGCTTCTCTTCAATCAGGCTAAGCAACATTTCAAAGGTATGTAAATGCACATCGAGAAAGAGGCCTGGATGATAGCTGGTCCCAGCCAGTCAGTTATGGTCCTGGCGGAAGGGCTCTGGGTGGGAGCTGTGGCTGGGTGGGTGTGTGTGGACTGGGGATGAGGAGTGTGAATTGGCGGAGGGGGACTCTAGACTCAGTGCTCTGCTTGGCACCTGTTCCCTGGCTGGAGGGAACTGCATCACAGGCTGCCTAAGGCAAGGGCTTCCCTATGGGCATCTGTGGCTTTTCAAGACATTCTAGTTACCACGGATGACACTCAGGTAAGTTTAATAACCATGGACTCCACAGCTGACACCAAGCCGGGGCAGAAAGAGGGGCCCTGATCAGCCAGGATCGTTGGGAAATACGTTGCCCTCACCGTGCAACTTCCTTTTCTTGCCTTGGTTTTCTGTGTTGTTTTTTTATATCTCTCTGGTAGGCTGCCTTCCTTAACATCTAAATCTTGAGAAAAGGAAAGAATGAATAGCCACAAATGTTCACCATGGCTTTAGTTAAATCCGACACAGCAATTACTCGCTCACTTTCTTTAGGAGCAAAAGTGGGAGGAAGGAGGAGGGAAGGCCCTCCCGCTCCGAAAGGAGGCAGTGGAGGGACCTGAAGTGCACAGGGCACGTTTTCATAGCTGTCCGTGAATCCGTTTCTCAGTCTCATCCCTGCAGACACGTCGTGAGGGTTCTGAAGGCACCAGGCCGAGGGAGGCCTGGTCTCTGCCTTCCAAAACCTCCAGTTGGAGAGGTGGGACAGCACAGTAAATAATTACAACAGCAGGTGATGATGGCTCTAATGGCTGTGTGCACAGGGAGCATGGAGACTTGGAAGATCAGGGAAGGCCTTGGAGGATGAAACACTGGACTTGGTCCATGAAGGATAAATAGGAGTTGATGTAGGAGATGGGAGGAGAACATTCTAGGGACAGGAAATAGCACATAAAAGAAAATCCTGAAGCTGAAAAGCCATGGCGTATGCTGTAACAAGTGGCTCCCGTACTGCACCATGACACACTCCCATGAGTGTATCATCAGAGAAGCAGTAAGTGAGGCTGGGAGGCCAGGTGAGGCCAGCTCGTGAAGGGCCCGGAATGCCAGGCTAAGGGGTCTACACTATGGAGCATTTTTAATCACATTCATCACAGAATCAGGTCTGTGGTGGTTTAAAAAAACTGATTCGGATGGAGAGAGGCTGGAACCAGTGGGTACCTAAGAGAATAAGACATAGTAATGTAATTATTGGTCTTAACATTTAGCAAAATTTTTGGTAACTGCCCACATTAGAAATTTTGAGCTTTAGTTAAAAACATTACAATTTGACCTAGAAAGCATTCTGTGTTGTAGGACAATGGGAAATTTTCACCCACTCATTTATTCCATACTGCTTTCCAAAATTACTCAGTATCCCATTTAAATGGTCCTTTGGAGTATTGAAACTCCCTTTATCAATCAATCAACAAGTCCTTATTACTCCTCTCTGATTTGCCAAGTGCTGTGTTTGGCCATACAAGAGGAACAAAGGAAGTCTTTCATGAAGGAATTGCTTACTCTCCGCCAACTGCAGCCACTTCCAAGGGACTTGCCTGGCAGCAGTGCACTGACGCATTAGCAGGAGGGAACACTTATCACTTGATGCTGGAGTTGCCTGCTTTGTGCCCGCCTCCCCAGCAAGACAGGGAGCTCCCCCAGGGCAGGGCCTGTACCCTGCTCCCTGCTGCATCCCTAGTACTCAGCATGGTGCCTGGCACACAGTAGGCCTTCAGGACACCTCAATTATAAACTGATGGAAGGGAAAGTCAGTATTTCGAATTCTTTAGGGGCTTCAGAAGCCCTGTGCCCCTGGCTTCTGACACATCAAGATACTTCACGACAACGGTCAACCTCCCAGTGATGTGTTCTCCATCTTCCCAGGAGCCTTTGCCGTGAAAGAGGTTACACAGCAGCAAGAGGGCACATTTCTGGTTTGCCTGTGATTGTGACAATTGCTCTGGCCCTAGAAGGAGACCCCCCAAATGCTCTAAAACAGCAACATTCCATTCAGTTTTCCTTGGCTGGCTTCCTGCAGAGGAGGAAGCCTCTCATGTCTTTTTCTGACCCCACCAAGTGATGGCTTTGGACAATCCCACCCTTCTGGCCTCCATCTGGCATGAGAAGAGCCTAGCTTTACAAAGGCATCTCCAGCAGAGAGAATGGAGGGCTTCGGGATGGAAGGGGAAGTACAGGGAAGCGGAAGGCTGCCAGGAAGCTAAGGCGGGAGTCCAGGGGGCTCAGAATTGGGTGCATGCTTACCCGGACGGTGGAGAGCCACTGATGGTACAGTTTGTCACTGCCTGGGGAAACAGAAGTCAGAGAAGCTGTTACTTAAAGAGGTGATTTGTCCTTGGGAGTCCTTGAAATTGCTTTTTTGTTTTTTGAGACGGAGTCTCACGCTGTCGCCCACACTGGAGTGCACTGGTGCGATCTCAGCTCCTGGGTTCAAGCAATTCTCCTGCCTCAGTCTCCCGGATTACAGGGGCCCGCCACCACACCTGGCTAATTTTTGTATTTTTAGTAGAGACGGGGTTTCACCATGTTGGCCAGGCCGGTCTCGAACTCCTGACCTCAAGTGATCCACCCGCCTTGGCCTCCCAAAGTGCTGGGATTACAGGCATGAGCCAGCACAACTGGCCGAAATTGCTTTCTGCATTCAGGACTTGGGGATCCCTGTGGAGGGTCCCACATCCTGTTCTTAAAGGAGGCGGCAGCGAGCCACTGCCACAGGTTTCCCTCTCAAACAGAGCCGATCACGCAGTGCCCTGACTGCAAACTCAGCCACCACCCCGCTGCCTGCTGGCTGGAGGTCAGGCTCCGAGGCCGCCCCGCCACTCTCATCCAGTTGTGCCTCGTGAGCTCTCCATCCTGTGCTGCTGTGACGCTGCATCACCTTACGTCCCACCACAGGGAACTACTTAAGGGACCACAGGGTCTGTAAGCCAGCATCCTCGCAGGCCTCCAGGCCCTTGCAAATACAGCTCCCTTGCCTAGTCACCACGCCCTACTCTCTCTGCTTAGTAAACGTGGCAGGCAGCTCAGATGTGATGTCCTCTGCAAGCTTCTTCCTCTGAACAGCCCTCTGGAATAGCTAACAGCCACTGAGACATCCATATTCTGGGAAGTACTCTAAGGGGCACTACAGCAGGGACCCCCAGGGCTGTGTGTCCCATTGAAAGGACCCTGCTGGACACACACTGAAACCTCAGAGAGTGAGACGGAAAGAAAACAGAGGTGTTGGGAAACTCCGTTCATTTTAAATGGTGGGTCTTAATCCACTGAATAAGTGAACTCAGTTTAGCAACACCTAGAGCCTGTTCTCCTGGAACTCACATGCAACCATTAGAACACAACTCTAGCCTGGCCTCCTTTGTTAAGCCCTCACATCACACAGTGAGGATTAACAGAGCCCTATTCTAACTGCACCGAAATCTGTTTCTACTCCTTTTCCTGCACTGGTTTAATTTCTGTTTGTCTTTAGTCATGCATTTCTCTCTCCTACCGAACACTTCTTGAGGGCAGAACTGGGTCCTCTGCTTTTTACTCCATGGGGCTCTGGACATAGCAGGTGTTCAGGAAATGCTTATCAGCGACTGGCTATTGCTGTTCGTAGACTTCATGGTGATTTTCTTAACTGTGCTTTCCACACAGCACAGGCTGGAAGGGCCTGCAACGTTTATAGGTGGACACTGTGCCTTGCTCTGTGAGCTTAAAAACTGCCAGTTGGATTATCACAGTAGTCCAGAATAGACACACACCCAGCAATAAAAGGGGTATGTGTCTATTCTGGACGACCACCAGCCAGCCGCATGGGTGTTATTCTGCATCTGGTTTTGCCTTCGCTGCCAAAGACTGAGGCAATGGGATTTGGAACGGTCAGATTGGCATTCAGGAGGCCGACTCAGCCACCAACACCTCTCTGGGCCTCAGATACCTCCTCTGAAAAATGAGAAGACAAGCCCTCCAGTTCTTCAGATCTACACAGACCAGGCACTCAGCAATAATTTGTCATATTTTAAAGAAACAGGGCTGGGTGTGGTGGCTCACGCCTGTAATCCCAGCACTTTGAGAGGCTGAGGTGGGTGGATCACCTGAGGTCAGGAGTTTGAGACCAGCCTGATCAACATGGTGAAACCCTGTCTCTACTAAAAATACAAAAATTAGCTGGGCATGGTGACACATGCCTGTAATCCCGGCTACTCGGGAAGCTGAGGCAGGAGAATCACTTGAACCTGAGAGGCGGAGGTTGCAGCAGTGAGCGGAGATCATGCCACTGCACCCCAGCCAGGATAACAGAGCAAGAATCTGTCTCAAAAAAAAAAAAAAAAGAAAAGAAAAGAAAAAGGAAAAAAAAAAAGCTTACTGTACACGGTCCCCATGCCAGGGACTGTCCTGGATGACTGTACAAATCTTCCCTCATATACTCTGATTTAATCTCAAAAGGAATCCTGTGAGGTAGGACATGGTACTCTCAGGGCATGGATAGGAACTTTAGCTAAAGGAGGGGAAATGACTCACCCAGGGTCTCGCAGCTTGTGAGGAGACAGAGTCCTGACTTGAATCTAGGCCTCCTAACTGAATACTGCATGTGCTTCCCAGTGGACCACGCTGGCCACTACTTTAACTAGACTTTGTCTACACAGGGGAAGCAACTGACCCTAGGCTGGGGGATTTCATATGGGCCAGTGTGCACTTTGTCAGAAAACGAAGAGGAATTCTTCAAACATTTCAAGGCCAAGCTTGAAATCAGTCTCTTCCTAAGCCCCAGTAAAGGAAAAGCAAGTCACTGCCACTCCTTGTCAAATATGCCCTATACGATGGCAGCCTGCAGCCCCGGAAGGAAAATGAGATGCTTCTCACCAGCATACTCGCCCATGTTGATTTCCTCTTCAAAAACATCACTGAAACCTTCGCCGGAATTGAGAAGATCTAATCGACCATCAATAAACTATAGAAAGAAAGAAAGAACAAAAGCACAACAGTTCTTACGAAGAAAAGGGGGAAAAACCATTCAGCTGGGCACCTACTGTATCCAAGGTAGGAGTTTTCTAAAAGTAAGGTTCAACAGGCAAGTTTCTTTCTAAAATACTGGCTGCATGTTTATGATAACTTGGAAAACCACATGGCAGATCTGCAAAGGATCTGTCTGGTCAGTGACTGCCCTCTTCACCCAATCCCCCTCCCCTGAGCCTCTTTTGCCTGGGGCCTGAGTCCCATCCATGCCTGTGGCCCCAGTGCTTAGAGTGGAGACAGCCGCAGAAATCCCCGCCAGGGAGCCAGACCCAGGCCAGACCAAGGAGGGTGGCACCTGCTTGAAGAGCTGTAGCTGCGTGGCGTTCTGCAGGAACTGCCTCATGGCTCCGGAGCGGTAGTGGGACACGAAGGCTTCCTCACAGAAAGTGATCGGCTCCTCCTGGGAAGTGCAGAGGGGAGACGAGGGTCATTGGCATAGTGTAAGAGCCATCAGTTCTGAAATTCCTATATGCAGAGCTTCCCCATCTGCTATTTTTTTTTCTTTTCCTTTTTTTTTTTTGAGATGGAGTGTCACTCTGTCATCTAGACTGGAGTGCAGTGGCGCTATCTCAGCTCAGTGCAACCTCTGCCTCCCAAGTTCAAGCCATTCTCTTGCCTCAGCCTCCCGGGTAGCTGGGATTACAGGTGCCCCCAACCATTAGTGGCTAATTTTTGTAGTTTTAGTAGAGATGGGGTTTTACCATGTTGGTCAGGCTGGTCTCAAACTCCTGAACTCAAGTGATCCACCTACCTTGGCCTCCCAAAGTGCTGGGATTATAGGTGTGAGCCACTCTGCCTGGCCCCCATCTGCTAACTTTTCTAACCCTCATGAGTGCAGTAGCTATTATCAAGGAATTCATTTCCTTTATGGATGAGGAAGCTGTTTCAGAGAGGAAGAGTCATCCTGCAAAGTCACAGAGAGGGTGGGCGGCAGAGCAGGAACCAACAGTCAGATTCTACACCCCATCTCCCCTTCCATACCCCAAGGGCTATTTAGGGAGACATGCCCTCCTATGTGAAGATTTCCAAACTTTTCCCTTTTAGCAGCAGAACCCTTTATTCAGATAGGATTTTATGCAGAAGCAGCCCTGCTAGGCCGGGCGCGGTGGCTCAGGCCTATAATCCCAGCTCTTTGGGAGGCCGAGGCAGGTGGATCACCTGAGGTCGGGAGTTTGAGACCAGCCTGACCATCATGGAGAAACCCTGTCTCTACTAAAATTACAAAATTAGTGGGGCATGCTGGCTCATGCCTGTAATCCCAGCTACTCGGGGGCTGAGGCAGAATTGCTTAAACCCAGGAGGCGGAGGTTGCGGTGAGCTGAGATCACGCCATTGCACTCCGGCCTGGGCAACAAGAGCGAAACTCTGTCTCAAACAAAACAAAACAAACCCCAAAATGAGCTGAGCCGAGTGTATTGGCAGGCGTCTGTAAGCCCAGCTACTCGGGAGGCTGAGGAAAGAGAATCGCTTGAACCTGGGAGGCAGATGTTACAGTGAAATGACATGGCGCCATTGCACTCCAGCCTGGGCAACAGAGACTCCATCTCAAAAAAAGAAAAAAAAAAAGTTACATAGAAGGAACCCTGTTACCTGAGCTCCATAATGCAGAGCTCAGCTGCTCTGGAGAACCTGGGCGTACAGCAGGGGTGGTGGCTGGGTTCTCCAGGCTTAGCCACCTTCTCACCCCCCTACATTGCAGGCGTCTTTGCAGTCCCTAGGCCACTGGCTGTGGGACATACTTTGAAGACCATTTACACAGTGATCCTAACCAATAGCGAACTGAAATTTTAAAATAATTATTTTAAAGAACAGGGATGATAAAAAATAAAATATACTATCCAATCGATTTTGTGCTTACGCTGTTTGATAAGCAAGTTTGCTTTTACCAAACCATATTTTATGAGTCAAGACGACGATACCCTGAGTTAAAAAAAAAAATCCTATCCGTATAGAGTTAACACCTTAATCTTTCTTTGAACACGTCTGGAGCGCTTATCTACACAGACAAGTCTTTAATTTCAGCGGTGTATTCTCAATTCTGAGAGATCAGACTTTCAGATCTTGAGCTGAATTAAGGGTAACACCCCACCCCCCAGCCTTGGTAGCAAACACAGAGATGTTTGAAGCTCCACTTTTATCCTATTTTAATGAGTTGCATGAGTGTTAAATTTACTGTCGAGCTTCTGTAAGTTCTAAGAGTTCTTCCTGCTTAAATCTAGCCAATATTAACTCAGAAACTGGGCAGACTTACTGCACAAGGGCTGTGAAGATGACCCAAAAATATTAGGGTAAGGAGAATATTTATTTTTATACAGTTGCACCCTACCTAATTTTACAAATGATCTGAGGCAGCTTATATGAGCATCTAAAACAACAAAGAAAAACATCAGGGCTGCAAAATACACAGATACATAAAAAGTATTTATTTGGGAAAAAAGTAGCTGGGTGTGTAGGTCCTATGTGGCTTCTAAGTTAAGTTACAAAATTAGCTCTGAACTTCCTGGCTGCCGGAGCGAGAAGGAAAACAATGTAAACTTTACTTTGTGTACAAGAAAAAAACAAAACAAAACAAAAACCCACACTAGTTCCTTGGGAAAAATAGCTTTATGTTCCATTTATTACGTTGGCATGGGTTTATATCTTCCTTGCTCAATAGCCAAGAAACCAGCTAGTGATAACTAACAGAAGCCCAGCTAGAATTCCATTCCTGTGGCTTGGAAGTTTTGTTCTCACTCTTGGGACCAGAGCAGGGCAATTAATTCTCTCTCCAGGTGATCTCATCCATGCACCCAGCATCACTCATACACTGATGACTCCTGACAAATCCTGGCAGCTCAGACACCTTTCCGAAGCTCTATACCCATCCATCTCAGCCTCCACCTGATGGCCCACTGGCGTCTCAAACTCAAAATAGCCTGAAACTTCCAATTACTATCCCATCAAGACTGTGCCCCAAATCTATTTTTGTTTTTTTCTTAACTGTCATTTTCCACGGTTACCCACAGTGGACCTATCAGACTTCCTAACTCCTTCCTATTTTACCTGAGAATTGTCTCACGCTCACTCCTGGCTTTCCATCTCACTACCTTGGCGCACGCCTGGACAGGCTTAAACCATGGTGGAGGTTTAACTCCATGCTCCTCTCCTGTTTCATCCCTCCCATTCTACTCCAACTCTTCTGGCTAGAGTGCTTTCTAAAATGCAAACCAGACCACATCACTATCCTATTCAGGAACTCTGCACAGATGTTACCTTTGTGTGATTATCTGACGAATGTCTCTTTTTCCCACTAGACTATGTGCGTCACACAGGCCGGAATGGTGTCTGTTTTGTTCAGCACTATGCGCCTAGCAACATGTGTGGCACACACAAGGGCCCAATGTGGGTGAAGAAAGGGAGAGCTCCTTAACCAGCAAACGCACCCTCCCGAAGCTGACCCTGGCTTCCTTTCCTAGAGTCCTTCTGTGTCACTTTGCCTCTGGCCTTCCACATACCTCATGCTCCAAACACATCCCACGATCACACGCCACATCCTTCCTTCCCCACCTTCTTCTTTGCTTTTGCCAGTTCTATTCCTCCTTGGACTGTCCTCCTGACACATGCAGGCCTCTGTGTGGCAGTCACTCATCCCTGCTTGTTGCTCCCAGTGCCGCGTGCACTCCTGGGCGCTGGGATAGTCTTCACTGGTAACCCCTCTCACCAGGAGCTCAAGGGGCCAGAGGTTGAACTCATCTCTATAGGCCCCAAGTAGAGCCCAGCCCCTAATTAGAAGCTCAGGGATGTTGGTTAAAGAAGCACGAAATGAGTTGAACCCTGCTTCCAGCCACAGGAGCCTTGTGGTCTCAGTATGTCTCTGACACTGCTTGGCCTGATAGTAAAGAGGTCTCAGAGCACAATGCCAGGCAAGTGCCACCCGTGCACAGGGAGTTGAGCTGCTCCAAGGAAATGCTCACTGAAGTTGTTGGCATTCACTCCTGGAGCTTTGGCCCAGGGTTGCCAGGAAGAAGTCTGCTGAGGGCCCAATACATTCAAGAGAGTTTGCAACCAGATTCGTAGAGGAGGGTAGCCTGAGACAGAATTTAGCTGCAGGAGAGCAGAAAGAATCTCACCTTTGGGGAGACACAAACATGTTGGGCCTGTTGTGTACTCATGGGAGGTGATATCCCCTGAACCAGATGTCTGTGCCCTAAAAATGCAACAGGACATGACACGGAAGGGAAAGATCAGGGGAAATGCGACAAGGGGCTTTTTCTGAAAAGAGCTTAAAGAACAGCATCAGATGCGTGAGTTAGACATGGGAAGAAGGTCTACCACACGATATAGTGTTACCAGAGTGGGGTGGGGTGAGGGCAATGGGTCCACAGGGTCCAAGGAGGAAAAGGCAAATCCTCCCAGGGCAGCAGGTCAGAAAACATGATAAGTGGACACTTCACCTGGGCCTGGAAGGGTGAATAGGAGTTAGGTGAGCAAATCCTCTCTCTTCAGGGCCCAACTCTTCTATCTTAATCCTGCCACAAGGCAGTGACGTTGTCACCCAGAACCGTGCATAAAGGTCTGCATGGCACCAGGCACAGGGCTCTTTTCCCTGGAGCAACTCACCTTGTAAGACAAAGGCAATAATCACAGTTTAACTCTATGTGAGGCACAGTGCTATGCACTTCACAACTCTTTTGAACATTCTGGAAACTTTTATGCAGTCAAAATTACACTCAAATTTTACAGAGGAATAACTGAGGTAAAGACATCTGCCCAGGTGACAGGATTCAGACATTGCAGAGTCAGGGTTAAAAGCTAGTGGTCTCCCAAGCCCAGGTGTGCAGCATGCATGTGGTCTACTGCAGGCCTGGCTCCTCCCTGCGGCCTCAGTCCTAACTGCTTGCCCTCAGACCTCCCTGGACAGGAGAGTTCTCTTTAAAATTGGAACCCTGGCCGGGCGTGGTGGCTCATGTCTGTATTCCCAGCACTTCCGGAGGCAGAGGCGGGCAGATCACCTGAGGTCAGGAGTTCGAGACCAGCTTGATCAACATGGTGAAACCCTGTCTCTACTGAAAATACAAATATTAGCTGGGCGTGCTGACGGGCACCTGTAATCCCAGCTACTTGGGAGGCTGAGGCAGGAGAATCGCTTGAACTCCGGAGGCGGAGGTTGCAGTGAGCCGAGATCACGCCATTGCACTCTAGCCTGGGCAACAAGAGCAAAACTTCATCTCAAAAAATAAAAACAAACAAAAAAATTGGATCCCTTTAGGTTCTCCTGGACACACAAAGCACCAGCCCTTCAGAGACACACAGCTCCTGGGAGTAAACAAGCCGCTGTGAAGGTTCTTTCTGCCACAGGCCCAAGGCGAGGTGCCAAGCCACTCCCACCAGCTCGTCCACCTGCGTCCTGCAAGTAGAAAT